TTGGCCTTCTTTACCTTTTGAGGTGTGAGACCTCCCCCATTTTGGAGGGTAAGTGAGCTGTGAGGCCTGGTGTTCCTTCTCTGCAGAGACCTTGGGGAAATATGTCCAAAAAGGTGGCAGAGTTCCTTGTGGATAGGGTGGATTATTGAGTGGATTGAGTGTATGGACTGAGTGAATGGTTAGATGATTGGTTATGTTGTACTATAGTCTGGGAGGAAGGAACAATGGGTAATATTGGACTGGACTGGAAAGGGGAGCGCAGAGAACAGGCAGGAACATTGAGATGGGTTGTTAGCAAAGGAAGATATGGCAGGAACTGGAGTGGGGTGCACTTGAGGATGTTATTCTTATCTCCTATTTTTATCTAATCTATATTTTAAAAAAACTCTTCAATATTTCAGAATGATCCACTGTCTTGCTTTATATTAGTATCAAAGAATATATCCAAAATATTATTGAAAATAAAGAAAACATGGCTCTTCATTTAGCATTCTTCTTTCTACTAGCTTCCAATTAGAGTTTTTTTTAAAATAAGAAATCCCTTTTTTTAAAATAAGAAGGGGTAAAAACCTGAAGGACATTCCTCTAGTTTTTGTTCTATTATCTGATTTGTTTGTTCATTCTATATCACCATTTTCTGAAAATTTTTTAACTGTGAGCTTAGGTCAAAAATGTGTTCATTTATATCATCAAAGTTATTTTTAATCTCATTATGATTTAAAGCCATTGTTGTTTGAATTAGTTGTAACATAGCATACATTTCTTCCTGGAAAATATTTGTCTTATCTTGAAGTATTTCTCCTGAAGATTTCTAATGTTCTGGACTAAGGATTTTAGAAAAGAATATTGCATGTGGTTTCTTACCACTTTTAGTTGTATATGCAACCTCCATTTTCATCAAACTAACCAGTCTTAAATTCCAAACACTATAGTCTTATATATCTCTTATCTTTATAAACAATCCAAAATGTTCAGTCATTTAAAAACAATCCAGTAATTTCCCCCCTAGGAGAATAGCCAAAAGGTCAAAGTTTTTCTTTCTCTACAGACTATTTTTAAACTTAAATATCACAGCTCAGTAAATATTTATAATCCAAGAAGGTCAGCAGTTTTCATAAACAATTGTATTTGTCATTCTGCAATAGATAGCCCAGTGTGTTTTCTTTCTTCTATTCCCAGCTGTTCTCTGTTTGGCTAAGAGTCCTTGAGAATCAAAGGGATAAAAGTACTCTGTTTCTGGACGTCTTGCCAGTTTCTGAGGTAGGGCAGCTATAATTCTATACTCTGTTCCATCACTAGATGTCAGTGTCTGTTTATTTTCCAGCTTTTAAAAAACAATTATTTTCTTGTAATTCTATCAATATTCTTTTAAGTAGAAAATCTGAACAATTTCCATAATTTTCAGTTTTATCCAAATTATAGCTTTACATTAATCCATTTCAATGTATTTCTGTCCCCCATAAAAATTAAATCGCCACTTCCGTCTATGGAAAGGTAGGGTTATAGTCCCCTTCCTTCTCACTTTTGGAGGATTTTTTGCTTCTTGGGGATCTTTTCCAGGAAATCAGTTTCAAAATAGAGAAGAGAAGATTGATAATCTCACCCAACTCCGACACATTGTTCACAGTTGTTCTTAGTTGCTGCTTTTGGACTTCGGATACCAATAGCTTGGGCTAGTCACTGGAGTGCAGCTAGCCTTTCTCCTGTTTGGATTGGAGGGCTTCCTCTGGATCAAACAGATCGACTGCCAACATTCCGTGATCATTGGGGTGCCCCTCCTTCTTCGCCGCCTCTCTGGGGTGACATTAGATCCATTTAGGGTCCCGAGGCAGGGTGAAACCAGCCTTGGGGTGCGGAGCTCCGCAATCCCTTGGCCACGTCACTATGACATAAAACTGGAAGTCCACATCCATACTAATATTAGTCTCCAGAACTATGCCTTGTATATCCAGATATGCATTCATGCTACTACCTCCAATGCTACTGTAGCAATATTCAACAAACAAACTGCTATTGTAACATAATTGTAACTTAATAGCAAACTGGTATAATACTATAGCAAATGGACAAATTGAAATCCTCATTCACTCAGGCATAGTACACTCATTCAGCCATTCACCTAATAAAGACAAAATTCCACATTCACTCAGTCTACCTATCCCAGATGCTCAAGGAGACAAGCAGGAGGGAATATATTGACTGCAAGACTCAAGATTCAAAAGAGTGATAGAAGGAAGAAAATTATTATTATTATTATTATTATTATTATTATTATTATTATTATTATTATTATTATTAATAATAATAATAATAATAATAATAATAATAATAATAAAAAGTTGGAAGGGACCATGGAGGTCATCGAGTCCAACCCCCTGCTCAGGCAGGAACCCTACACCATTTCAGACAAATGGCTATCTAGTCTCTTCTTAAAAACATCCAGTGTTGGAGCATTCACTGCTTCTGGAGGCAGGTTGTTCCACTGTTTAATTGTTCTAACTGTCAGGAAGTTTCTCCTTAGTTCTAAGTTGCTTCTCTCCTTGATCAGTTTCCATCCATTGCTTCTCGTCCTGCCTTCAGGAGCCTTAGAGAATAGCTTGACTCCCTCTTCTTTGTGGCAGCCCCTGAGATATTGGAACACTGCTATCATGTCCCCCCTCGTCCTTCTCTTTGTTAAACTAGACATACCCAATTCCAGCAACCGTTCCTTATATGTTTTAGCCTCCAGTCCCCTAATCATCTTTGTTGCTCTTCTCTGTACTCTAGTTTCTAGAGTCTCAGCATCTTTTTTACATCGTGGTGACCAAAACTGGATGCAGTATTCCAAGTGTGGCCTTACTAAGGCATTGTAAAGTGGTATTAATACTTCACGTGAT